AAAATTCCTACAACAATTTGACATCTTCAGTACATAAGGAACTTTCATTGCATCATAAAGACATACTCATCTTCCCAGGCATTTCCATATGCAGGTCCTGATTGGCACTTTGTTTTTCCAGACACTTTCTCCTGGTTTTTTTTTCTGAAGATTACATCATGGGTCTCCTGAGCCTCTGTTGCAGGAAGGAAGAAGAGGGTAAAGGAAAGAGGTGACATTTTGGCCCTATCAACCATTAAGAAAAATACAAAATAATTTACTCAGCAACGAAAACCCTATTATGCAACAAAACACCTAGTGACCTCTCTATTGTATCCTCATGGACTCTAACATCAGCATTAATTACTCATTTAAAGCCATCTTCATGATTAGCATCTTGATAGCATTTACCAATTTTGTCAGATTAAAAATAAGTTCATGTTTTAACTAGGAGATTAATTGTAATTGCAGTATACTAATAATTTTCTTTAGAAATATTTAAAAAGAGTTACATATTGAAAATATTTAACTTAGTTTACTATTGTTCTGATACTGATTTACTCATCATGTTTTCTTTATTCACAGAAATCAGTAATAATTGAATAGTGCTACATAGATTAAAGATGCAATCACATGCATTTTCCTATTTTTATCTCATCAATTAGAATAATGAAGTGATAGAGATATCAATTAAGTACAATAATAATAGATAACACTTGCATTCATGGGTGGTTTTGTGACTTTTAAAACAATAGTTCCCTATTATATATGAAGTTTTGTATTGGAAAAATAAACCCACACACCAAAGGGCAAAGAGTATGCCAAAACTCTCATTAGTTTAGTGTCATGTTTGAAAATCAGGTACTAATTTCTATTCCTTTTCTTCAAATGGTCTTTAATAAAACCTTTAAATATGACATCGCTCCTGCTGACTTAAGATTTCAAAAAAGACATTAATATTGTGACTTCTTGATTACTATATTTCCCTTCTCATATTTATTTGTTAGTAAGCTCTTGGATTTTAAATTTCAGGACAGTGATCAGATTGATGGTTGGAATACTATGAAGTATAGTTAGTGACTATGCCAATATAAAAATGAAGCATTTAAAATTGAACACTTAATTTTTTTAATGGGGAAATAAGCTGGGGTTTTGTTCTTGCAATAGTCAGTACACAATAAGCACATGTTTAGTACTATTTACACTTTACCATGCATAATACTGGTGGGGCAAAAAGTACATCTAATATTGTTATTATGGAATGTAATACAATAATTAATAAACAAGAATAAACATTTTTGTGTGTTCAAAACTGTAAACCTACTTTTGCCCTACCTTTATTATTATGAGAAAATTGACTTCAATTCAAATAAATGGAGTAAATAAAGAACACAGTATAGTGATATAAGTAGAATAATACAGAATGAAGATGGAAACAGATTACAAGGTCATCTCCAACTCTTCACAAAGTAATTATGAATTCTGCCATTAAAACCATTTTGGCGTCTCCTGCTCTTCTTTCCCACCGGGGCCCTCAACACATACATTATGTGTTATTGTAGAAAGTTTGGAACATCCAGAAGAGTATAATGTATATTTATAAGTCTTAATTATCTCCAGTAATTAATTCCATCATACAGAAATAACCATTGTTAACATTTTAGTGTATATCCTCCCAATTTATTTTATTTGTTTTTATTTATATTATGTACAATTTATTTTGTATATGTAAATTTAAGTTTGCCTTATATGCTGTTTTGGTTCCTTTTTTTGTAATTACATACCTACCTTTTCCTTTATCATCAAATAGTTTTCTAAAATATGAAAAGCATGATTTGGGGAGGTGTGGGAAGATTGTCAAAATACATTCACAGCCATGAGAACAATAATAAGAGGAATGGTCAACTTAAAAATCAGTAAATCTCTAAGAAAGTTAATATGTATAAACGATGAGTGTTCTAGTTGACTAACAAATAAATATATCCATGTCTTTATTAACATATACTTTTTAAAACAACTTTCAAAAGTTTTACCTTGTTCTTTGCATTACTTAGAAAGGAAAATTCTCCTATAAATATACCTCCCCTAAAAGTTTGGTAATATGTTCTTCTAGTGCCATTATGTTTTTAAATAACTAAATAATATTTCATCAAATAGATTTACTACAATTTAATCAATTTCCACTAGGGGGCATTTAAGCTATTTACAATATTTCATTATTATCAGTAAATATATTTTGCAGATCGCTGAACATAAATGTTTTAGTCATTCAACAAAATCATACTAAATTGATCTTATCCTATTCTCATATATATTATTAAAGTCTCATGAATTTCAATTCTTAACTTCTTTGAACCTGTTTCCTTACCTGCAAAATTATGAGGTTGGATCAGAGTTCTAATATAGCTCCAATTCTAAAAAATTTGAGTTATAAATAGTAGATCCTTAATAACTGGGTAAAACAATTTGTAAACTATTAGAAAAAAACATGAGGTACAATTTGTGCCTTCCAAATGAGGAATTATATTTCTGGAATATCAATTTTACTTCAGGATTTAGGGACAAAGTTTGCATTATTTCATCATGAATTTTTAAGATAAAAACAAAGTCTTTGAAAAAAATTTATATTTCTGAGCACACTGCTTTGAACTTTGCCCTCCAAGAAATCAGGATTTATTTTTCACTTTTATTAGGAATGGATGCAAGGGTTTGATTAAATAAAGAGAAAGAAGATATCAGTTAACTTACACTGTTTGAAAGTGGTATCACATTCCTTAGAGTAACTAAGGTATTTGAAGTTGTCCTTGGCCTTAGAATCTAAACACACATTTGCTCACTATGCTGCCTCATACAAGAACTTGTCAGGAGGTTAAGGTTTGTTTGATTTTACTAATTAAAACCTGTGCCATCTTGCTTTTTTACTTTTTTTTTAATCTTCCAGCTTATTTCTATTAGAAAAAATATGGCCAATTTCCATATTCCAGATCTATCCTTTATAAATATAGCCACAAGGAGCATCAACAGTTGCATATAGTTAATTTATATTTCTCATTCAAAGCTTTAAAATTTAGCATCCATTGGTTGCTTTTTACTTTCACAATCATCCCTACCTTAAATGTTCAACATATCTCTACATTAAACAGAGCATAAGTTTGCTTTTTAAAAAAAAAAAGTTTTATAAAAATACAGATTTCAAGGATTAAGTAAAAAGAACTGAACTGAAGGCAGCCAGATTTTTTTCTATTAGAGAAGAGTAAAGGAAAACCTGATATATAAAAATTTGAATCATTTTAAAATCTGAATGAGCTAGAAATCCTCTTTTTCCTACCAAATAAAGAAAAAGATTTGTAGCAAGGTAAATAGCTATAAAAGCAAAATCTGTCAGGGCTTTGACTTTTTTCACTCCAAAAGTGACATGGCGTTGAAAGGACACCAAACCTTATGCAAAACGAAGTACAGTATAATTGTCTCTTAGTATGGACAGGGGATTTGTTCCACCACCCCCAGGGATACCGAAATCTGCAGATGTTCCTCTTTTTAAAATGGCATAGCATTTGCATATAACTTATGCACATCTTCTCATATACTTTAAGTCATCTCTTGATTACTTACATTACCTAATACAATGTAAATACTATGTAAGTAGTTGTTACACTGTATTGTTTAGGGAGTAATGACAATTTATATAAGGAGGGACCCCAAAAAAACCTGAATTGTCTTCTGGAGGGTAGGTCCCTTGTAGTACAGGCCTCCCCGGCTAAGTATATGTTCTAGGAACCCATCTACTTGAGGGTACCAGCTGGCGTTGTTGTAAGAGGCTGCATTCGGCCTCAGTGAATTTTTTTCTTGAAGACTTATGCTTTGCCCAGTTCTGCGCTGAGTATTTTACAGTTTTTAACTCAAAATGGCATGACCCCTGTGCCCCACCCTCCCTGTTTCCCTGATTTCACCGAGCGACTCTTTTTTTTATTTCCTTAGATGAAAAGAAGTCCTCAAAAGGAAACATTTTGCTGATGTGGAAGGGGTAAAACAGACCCCCCCCCCAAAAAAAAGCAGAAGCACTAAAGGGCACCAAAATCGACAAAGTCAAAAACTGTTTTGAGCAGGAAAAAATGTCTCAATAAGTGTATTACATCAGATGGAGAGTACTTTGAACGTGACTAAAGTTTAAACATGCGGGAATAAATTCACTATTTTTTATAAATAAATTCTGGGTTTTTTGGGGTCTCCCCTCCTTCACGTTCAATATCTTTCACCCAACTACTCTAGACCTAATTACACAGTACCCTTGGCAACAACAGTAACCTTTTTCCCCGAATATTTTCTGTCCAAGATTGGTTGAATCTGTGGCAAATAGAAGGGCCCACCTTACACTCCCCATAGAAAATTTAAAAAGTATTTCAGTACTGTACTTCTACTTCCTGTGTACAGGTGGCAAATAACTTTTCCTTTTCTTTCTTATTCCTTCCTTTAATGCACTAGTCAAATTTTTTAAATTGATGTTTTGGAAACAGCTTCTCAGAGGCCGAAATTTATTACGTAGGAAAAGGAACCAACAAGGTCTGACGGAGACTCATTCTGTCCCGAAGTGTCTCTGACCACCTCTTCCCTACCGCTGGAAAAATAAAGCAAACACGCTCTTAAAGGGACTAGCTGCTCTAGAGGACTTGCACTCGCAATCTAACCTTCCTCCGGACTCCCCCGCACCTGGCTGGTGGCGCTGAACACAGAAGAGTTGGAGGGCGGGGGGGCTGTGTCAGATCGATCTCTGTCTCTGGAGGGAGTGACTTGTGGACCACTTGGCCCTCAGCCCCGAATGGATTAGAAATTTAAATGTGTGAAACAGAGACCTGAGATCACTTTGCAATACAATCTGCAGTATCTTCTCGAAAGCCAAGAAACTCAGTTAGGGATAACAAGAGGAAGTCAGAGACCCACCAGGACACCCAGTCCCGTCGGGCGCTTTGCCCGGGCCAACCGAGGATTGACCCGGAAGTTCTCGGCGGCGGGGGCGGAGGCGGGATTCTCCACCAAACCGGCGCACACGCGCGCGCTCCCCGCGGAACTCCCGCCGGCTGCGCGGCTGGGTCCCAGAGGCGCGCCCGAGCTGCCGCGGCCGCAGCCAACATGGCTGAGACTAGCGAAGAGGTGGCGGTCCTGGTGCAGCGGGTGGTAAAGGACATCACCAACGCCTTCAGAAGGAACCCACACATGTGAGTTGCGCGCAGGCGTTGCCACCGCCTCCGGGGGTCGTCGGGGGCTGACGGGGGCGGAGCCAAGCCCGGAGTCGACCTCGGGCGGCGGCTGGAGGACGGCGGGTCTTGGCCCGCGCACCCCTCGCTAGAGGGGACAGAAGGAGGTCGCGGCTAGATCGCTGTCGGTCGCCGCGGGGCCCAGGGCCCGCTTTTCGCTATCGGAGCGTTCTCGCAGGGGAGTCCCTAGAAGTGACCTCGGAAAATCAAAAGAGCGAGTTTGTATCGCTCTTCCCGGACCCCCCCCCCCCCCCCCCCAACCCCGCTTTCCCAGGAGTTCAGGAAACTCGAAAGACTTCATCCAAGTGTCCACATCCCACATCCGTTTAAGGTACATGGGCGCACACACGATGTGGGTCTGTATGCTTTGTAAACACAGCTCTCTTGAGGTTCATCCCGGACGCTGGTGAGAGGGGGTTACTATTACTGATCATCTTATCCTTAATGGGCCAAAAACCCCTCAGTTTACTAACCAAAGGTAGCTTGAGGCTGCTTTTGACTTTGGCCTCGCTTGTCCCAAGATTGTAGAGGGACTCCAATGAAACATGTTTTGAAGGTGAAGAGAGGATTCTTAAGAATGTAGCTTTTGTAGGCACAGGATGAGTCTGATGTAAAATAGATAAAACCTCAATACTTTTTAGCATTAGCTGATTCATAGTAACAGGGAGCCAAGCACATTACCTTTTTTTTTTTTAATTCAAACCTTGCTTCCTTCTTTCAGTAGAGCAACACAGTACTGATACACTGTATCTTCCCTCCTTCCTTTCCATTTTACTTGGAGTACTCTGGGAAGATACCGAGAGAAACTATTCTTTCTGGCAATTTTATGTAGCAAGTGAAAAGGAAGCTATTAAAGCAGAGGTATAGCTACATTTAACAAGAGAGTTAGGGAGAAGCAGGAGTGTAACTGTTTTCCCATCTCTCATCCCCTCTCCCCTCCAAAGAAACATGGAATCCAGTTTTATGTTATTTTCACTTTATCTCTCGGTAATGGAGTTTATTTTAATATATTATTTATTTAAACTAGAACACATGAATTAATTCTTTGTAAGTATTCTAACCCCTTAAGCTTTTCTGCCTGAAAGAGATACCAAGCCTACGTATAAATGTTCTTTTCTTCAAGGTGGTGCTTATAGAAGAATTAAGAAGTCCTCAGATGCCATGCTCCCATGTGGCACACAATTGGAGACCTGCAACTGTGCCTCATTAAAAACAAAACACTGCTGGCCTCAAAACACACCTGCCACCTCTGACAGCATCCACTTCCTTTCCCCTTGTGACTGCTGCCTTTTTCAAAATGAGTGTTTGGAATGATTTCCTGGCAGTAACCATAGTGGGTACTGAGCCTTCTAAAGAATGCTTTGATGCCTTGTTTATCAGTCTTTCTGTCCCTTTTTCAGAAAGAGAGCTTTAGTGCAAATAAGAGACATCCTTAAAAAAAAAGTCATATAAAAATGAAAGCCTAATTTCTCAGCATTGGTGTTATTTTTCTTGAAGAAATTATAGCAGAGGTTAGAAAGGAGTCTAATAAGTATAGTAATCATCTTAGTTTTTCTCCTTTGAGGTAAATTAGAAAAGCATTGGTATTTAATATTTTAAGAAATAGGTTGTATGTTCATTGGCTTGGCAGGCTGACACCGTGCTGCTGTCTGGAACACATCCCAGTTCTTCTGGATCACATTTACTGAAATTCAAAGGACTTTAATACTTTAATCATTTTTATGGTGAAATCTCATTTATGTGCTATCAATGCATAATTTATAATTATTAATAATCATTTGGGTCATTCAAGATTTAAAAGTATAAAATAAGATGGGCATTTGAAATATACAATAGGTCTGAAAAGTTAAATAGCTTAACTCATTGTTTTATAATAGTCTGCTATAGTTATATATTCCCTACAATAATGATAATCTTCAGTAATATTACTATGCATCTTTTATAAATTGGAATTTTCAAAATTGCCCATACTTCTTCCCCAATCTAGCTCTTTTTTCCAAGGAAAAGAGACTATATTTCTAGTTAAAAGGAGGGAAAACATTTTTTACCTTGAAAGTTAGTACCTAATTACAGTTTTCAGTATTAAAAAAATGTTTTCATTATTTACTTTTTGTTTTCCTTTTTTCTCCAAACACAAGATAGATTGCAATTTTATTAGCCAACTTCTACTCTATTAAACATACTGCATTTGTAGAGCTATCTAGCCAGGACGAGCCATAGATGCAGTGGTGAAGATGTAGACTTTGTTAGTGGTAGGTGTTGACAGGTTACCGTTGCTCAGCCTCAGTTTCCTCTTCATCTAGTGAGGCTGATGAGAACACATGAAAATCCCCTTACATGGCATCTGGCACTTAGTTGCTACTAGGTAAATATTAGGCTTAACCTGAATTCCTGTGTTCCTCAGGAACTATATGAATGATGAATGTGAAACACTTCATGAACTGAAAAATACCATAGAAATGTTGTTTGTGTGGTTGACTCTTAGAGACTGCCATTGGAAAAATAACTGAAAGCTTGACCTAGGGACTGGCATTAAATTAAACTATAGACCCTGAACTAAAGTAAGGACAACTGTTTATGATAGAATTAGAGTCGTGTCAGAGATCTCCAGCAAGTTATTTTTTATTACTTTTTTAAATATTTATTTAACTCACTGTTTACAAGATGGTGCTGTAGGTACCGTCTTCACAGTTTAGAATAGGAAGAATTATAAAATATATTTATACTCAAGGCACTCACATGATGGAAATGATGATGGAAATGTTCTATATTCTTTCTGTCCAATATGGTAGCTATTAGCCACATGTAGTTATTGGGTGTTTAAAATGTGGCTAATGCAAACTTAATTTTAAATTTTATTTACTCTTAACTGATTTATACATAATGGCCACATATACATGTGGCCACTGTATTGCCTGGTGCAAGTCTAGATGGAGATCTAAGACCTACCTGCAGGAACAATAAAGTAACCCTACAAAGTGGTTAATGAGAAAGGCTAGACTAGCAGTATGGTGACCAAGTGTTATGTGAGTCTTAGAAGTAGGAGGCTGGGTGTGTCTTGGCCAAGTCTCTTAGGGTAGGTGGGTTTTGAGCTGAATTTTGAAGGCTAGGTAGGATTTATTCTCGGATGGGGAGCCAAATACCTCCACAGGGAACAGTAAATAAATCCAAACAGCAAAATGTGATTGAAAAGATAGAGTATGGCCAGATTATATAAGTCCTTGGCTGTCTGGTTTAATTTCTTTCATTCCATGCATGCATTCAGCAAAAGAGCACTTCTATTAACAATGCTAATCTCTGGTTCCACAGGACAAGGAACGGGGTGTAGATTGACAAACACACTACACATGGTCCCAGCCCTAACAAAACTTTAAATGGATCAACATACTGATTATGAAAAGAGCCCCAAAACCTAAAAAGGATTCTTTGAAAGAATAATAACAGAGAGGCCTACTTTAGATTAGAAGATCAAGATCATTCTTTCTGAGAAAATACAATTAAATGGAACCATGAGGGATGGACAAGAGTTGCCTCAGGAAAATACACAATTCTTAGGTAGTGGGTAGGGCCCAATAAAAATTTTCTAGCAAGGGTGTAGTAATGAAAAACAGTTTTAGATTGTCTGCAAGTTGAACTGAAGAACCAGCCACCATAGTCTTGGCTTCTCATCTTACACCTGATTTTTATCTATCTAAACAATTATATAGTTAGTTGTAAAAGTTTGGGTTTGGAGCCTGACAGTCCTGGGTTTGAATCTTGGCTTGTCATTTACTACCTGGGTAGACTTAGATAAGAACCTTTCCTCATTTTTAAAGTAGTTTAAAATTCCTATTTTTTAAGATTATCGTGCACAATAAGTGAAATAGTGTGTGTAAAACCTAACAAAATATTGCATACAGCAAACACTGAATAAACTAGTAATTTGTGAGATGTTTTTTACGTAAGGTCAATAATACACTTTCAGTGATACACAAAGTGATTTCCTTTAGAAGATCTGCTAACTTTCCTTTTTGGTCATTCTGGAAAAAAATTCCAGATCGAAGAGAAAAAAAATGAAGTAACTTAGATTTAAAAGATTTGCCCTGAATCCTTGGGCTGTTTTCACTTTAGCCACTCTACCGTTCAGGATTTGGTTTTAGCTTTAGCGGACCATCCTTTCCTCCCAAAGGGAAGCTGATTAATACAGGGTCCAGCACAAATAACACCCCTTTTTTACTACAAAATCATAAGCATGTAGTTCTGTAACATAACAATATCATACTCAAGCACACCATATGACATTTTAAGTGAAGTGTTCACATTGCTGTCCATCTTATGCGAGACAGTCACATACCCCACCAACCATACACAAGCAAGGCTTACCTCTGCCAGACCCTGTATTTTGTGAATAATACGTGGGCCTACTCTAGTTGATGATGTTTTTGAAAAGCACAGAGGAGAAACTGTCTAAACATGAGGAACAAAGTCAACATCAGTGTTATGAGAACCTTGAACTTCACCTGAAAGCCAGTGAAACCCTATTGTGAGGTTGAGTGCTCAAGAGATGTACTCTGGTGTGCATGATCTTTTAAAATAAATGTGTCAGGTCATTCTATGTTGCTGTTTCTTTGAACCATCCTTCGAAGGTAACCTAAAAAGTGAGCATTGTGGTATCTCTTTAAAAAGATTAGAACTTGATTATTGTCTCAAGTCTTCATGACTTTAAAAATCCTAGGATCTGCCCTGGCTGTTGTGGCCCAGTGGATTGAGCACTGGCCTGCAAACCAAAGGGTCACAGGATTCGATTCCCAGTCAGGGCACATGCCTGGGTTGCAGTCCAGGTCCCCAGTTCAGGGCACGCAAGAAGCAACCACACATTGCTATTTCTGCCCCTTCCTTTCTCCCTCCCTTTTCTCTCTAAGTTAAATAAAGTCTTTTTAAAGAAAATCCTATTACCTTTGTAATGCAGGTATTTATTTGAGCATCTTTATAAATACCAGGAATCTCAATTTCCAGAAATACAAAAATGTAAAATGAAATTTGATGGTAGTGAAAAACTCAGAAATTTCTTTTCTCTTTTTTTTTTTAAATCCTCACCCGAGGATATGTTTATTGACTTGAGAGAGAGATCAATGTGAGAGAGAAACATCGATTGGTTGCCTCCGATACGTGCCCTGACTGGGGATCGAACCTACAACCTCAGTATGTGCCCTGACTGGAGAGTAAACCCACACCTTTTGGTGCACAGGATGATGCTTCAACTGGAATAATACTCCAACCAACTGAGGCACTGGGGCAGGGCAAAACTCAGAAATTTCTAAGACTATTTAGTAAGGAAACAGCAAGATGTATGTATTTGATATTTATAGCACATTCATTGTAACCATTAAAAATTATATAAATTAGTTGGAAATTAAGTAATGTGAATTAAACTTTTTAAAAGGATTAAAGAGGAGTATGTCCAATATAATGCCACTTTTGTAAAATACTTAGAAAACAAGGATGCATACCCAAATATAGCAGTGGTAGAGGGATGACAGATGACTTTTAGTTTTTTATGAGTCTTCCAACTTTTCTTGAGCATGAAATTAGAATTTAAACATCAGAAATCTAGGAGTTAATCTAAATCATGCTTGCTTTTACTGATGCCTTCATCTTCACTCTGGCTTCATGGGTTTGGAGTTAGGAAATCCCAGGTTTTAATTTAGCCACTGGCAAAATGACCTTGGGTAATCCTATTGACCTTATTGGACCTCAGTTTTCTCATTTGATAAAATGAGAGACTGCAGGAATGAGGTCCCTTCAATTTTAAAATGATTCTGGAATCCTAAATTGTCTGAAAAAAGTGGACTATGACCTAAGGGACCAGACATAGAAGTCTGAAGTCAAACACAGTGTTATTTGGAAGCTTACTGACCTACCTATCTGTCTAAAGCACTTGTTATATTTTTAGGAAGCAGGAAAGCACTCTCTTCAGGGTCAAATCACTTGATAAAAGCTCAAGATTCTTTGCCTCATTTTCTCAGAATCTGTTTAGAAAGGGACTTTTCAGTTTGATCCCAGGCTCTTAAATGAATTAATGATAATGTGCTTCATCTTTGCCTGGCACTTTATAGCTTACCACATTTTTATACAATCTACTACTTGCTGTTCATAACAGGCAGGGAAGGCATTATTACTCCTGTATTTGAAATGAGGATACTGATGACAAGTGACTTGCCTAATTCACATTGACTGTCAGTGATAGAATGGAGACATGTTGGAACCCTGGACTTCAGAAGATCAAGTGCTTTTGTCTCTACATCTTACTGCCTCTCTTTTAATTATTGGTTTGTTTTTTTTTTAATTTCCTAGTGCTTTACATTTCCTGATAAAGCTGTTTTCATTCTTACATGAGAATAGCTGCCAGGTTTCTCAGTCTTAAAATTTGAAAGTTGGATGAGACCTAGCAGCCCTTTGCCTTTCTTTAGAGATACAATGCAACTTCACATTTTAGAAATGAGGAAAATGAAATCTACAGAGCCCAGGTAACATGATCCATTATATCACATTAACAGAGCTAGGACTTTGACCCACTGCATAAGGAAATCAGAAGTAATGTTCTTTTGCAGAATCAAGAAGCAACGTTCTTTGAAAATTATTTATTTGAATATTATCAACAAGTGCCAAGATAATCAGCATTTCAGTAGCAGTTACTGAGCACCTACTGTATCCAAGGCATTTTTGGTTTTGCCATTATTGCTTAGAAGAACGGTAGTCAACGAAAGCAGGCTGGGGTTGTGTGTGTGAATGCAGATGACACTGTTCTGTCATTTAGGTGCATTTAGTTGGGCATTTTATTTTGGGTATAAACATTGATCAAGGTAGGTTTTTACATTGTGAATTTGATATAAAAATCTACATCCCCCCCCAAAAAAACCAAACTATACCCAGAACCTAGGATTCTTTTATTGTTATTCCAACAGTCCTATTGTTGACTTTTGCAATTCTTTGCATTGTTGTAAGTGGTTATTAGACCTCAGAGAACAAGTTTTGTTGAAATAATTGCACTGAGGGTTTTTTGTTTGTTTTTTAACTGTAATTCTAGTTAGTTTCTTAAATGTTTTACTTTATGTAGTAAAACCTGAACACCGTAAAATACCAGAGATTCTAACATACTCCTATATTAGTCAGGTATAGTTCTCCGGTGAGGATACAAAATTTAAAAGTTTAAAAATGTTTAAAGGATTAATAAAGAAGAAAAGAAAAAATGGCCCACAATCTCCATGAGAAGATGACTTTTATTGATAATTTATTTCTGTTCCACATACATTTATTAGCAGGCAAACAAATATATTTGTTGATATTTTATAAAGCAAAAATAATACCTACAAGTGACTAGAAAATTTAAACTGTATAAAAATAAAATCCTTTAGCACTCCAAAAATTTACTATCCTTCCAAGAAAATTTTGAATGCATCTTTGTATCTTTTAAGAAAATTATACAAAAGGCTTTGTAGTGTATGCTATATTTGTCATTTTGCTTTCGTTCGTTTGTTTCATAGATTTTAGCTCCCTTTCCATACCAGCATATGCAGATCCACCTTATTTTTTAATACCTCTTATCACATGGATAAGCCGTATACGTTTTACCAGTCTTACATTGATACACATTTAGATTCATTCCAGTTTTGTTGCAGTGTCACAGTAAACATTGCATTTATATATTTTGGCACAGGATAATTTTTGAGCAGTGGAATCACTCGGTCAAAGAGTAGGTATATTCACAATTTTAAAAGACATTTTCAAATTTACACCAAAAGATTAGACCAATTTTCAGTCCCATCAACAGGGAGCACAGGACTGTTGTCAGTATTAAAAAACTGGTGGGTTTTTTAAATTTCTGTCAATCCAATAGGTGAGCTAAATAATATTTTTAAGAAAAGAAATACGTGGATTTTTAAAAATATTCTGTTGGATTGAAAAATTGTGAAAAGGTAGTATTCTTATCTTTGTTTTTTATGTTTTACCTATTAAGAGATGAAATTGGCCTGATCCCATGTCCTGAAGCTAGGTATAACCGGAGTCCCATAGTCCTGGTTGAAAACAAACTTGGTGTGGAGAGCTGGTGTGTCAAGTTCCTTTTACCGTATGTCCACAACAAGCTCATTTTGTACAAAACAAGAAAGCAATGGCTGAACAAGGATGGTAAGTATGAACTCTGCCTTCCTCCTTTGTATTTTGGAAGCAGCATGGAATATAGTGGGAAGAACCCTCTCTGGGCGTGGGCATTCCTGGATCCTAGTTCTGGCTCATTCATTGCCTGGGCTGGTGCTTCACCTCTGTCAGGTGAGGAGTTTGGACTCCAGTAGTTTTCAGATTTTGCATCCACAGTGATTCTATGGAAGGCGCTTCAAACAGAGTGCCAGGCTACCAACTGCAATCTGAGCAGTGAATCACAACAATTCTGATTTTATCTTTATATATAAGGGTCATTTATAAAATTTTATTTGAAGAAGACATCCTATGGCTGAAAAAGTTTGAAAATTATTGAGGAGGACTGTAGTTGCTATAAGCTCAGATTATCTGGTTTCTAATCTGTTAGTACTTTATAAGCAATATAATTCATTTTAATAGCAGTCCAAATGATGTAACAGAGGCATGATGGTCATGGTTGTACAGTGAATTCACTCAGCGATTTATGAAGGTGCCATCACACTGTGAAACCCAGTTGAGCTCTGGTCCTCCGTGTCCTGTTGCTGTGCATACATGAGCAGAAGAAAACCATCCTAGCATTCACTTCTTCCACTCCTCTTTACTGCAGCAAACAACCCCTATTCGTTCCAATTGGTCTCATCTCTTAGTTTCCCCACTATAGGTGGTATTAAGCCTCCATATACACAAAGTGTTTATTTTCAGTGAAAGTGAGATCTGAGGTCTCACTTTTTTGGAGAGTACTCATCCAAGACAATGTTCTCAAATGTTTCTGTAAAGCTCCTGCCCTTTCCTACAGATAACACTACCTTTAAAAGTGTTCAGTCTGCCTGGTAGCGAATTTTGAGTAAGAACTTTGTTTCCTAGGGAATTTTAATTATCAGTTTGGTAGCCATTACCAAGGGCCTACTCAGAAGCTGTTCTAAGTACTGTTGGGGATAAAAAGAATAATACATGTTCTCTTTACTTAAGAAGTTTACAGTTCAGTGAAAAACAGTGTCTTTGTGGAGTGTTACCAAAGGTGTGACAGCAATTTACTTATATTCCTTTCAGCATTGTCATTAAGATACTGTCAGAGTGTTAGTGTTTTTCCCTGTTTAGGCCAGTAGAAAAGGAGTCTAATTTGAAGATTTACTGTGTGAAATAGTTTGTTTTGTGTGTTTAACTCATACGAGGGGAGACCCCCCCAAAAAAACTGGAATTGTCTCCTGGAGGGTGGGCCCTTTGTAGCATAGGCTTCCCCTGCTAGGTAAGTGTTCTAGGAACTCATCTGTATCAGCGTACCAGCTGGCATTGCTGTGAGAGGCTGCGTTTGACTTTGGTGGGTTTTCTTTTAAGACTCTTCCGATGTGTTTGCCCATCTCTTGATGGGTGAGTTATAAGTGCACGTGCCCACACTATGTTGAGTGTTCCACAGTTTTTGACCAAATGGCATGACCCCTGTGCCCCACCCTCCCTAATTCATCTGATCTTGCCCCAAAGACTTTTTTGGTTTGTTTGTTTCTCCTGATGAAAAAAGTCCTCAAAGGGAAACATTTTGCCAATGTAGAAGGGGTGAAACAAAAAACGATAGAAGCACTAAAAGGCGTCAGAATCAATGGGTTCAAAAGAACTGTTTTTGAACAGTAGAAAAACATCTCAATAGGTATATTGCATCAAATGGGGAGTACTTTGAAGGTGACTGAAATGTAAACATGTAAGAATAAATACACGATTTTTAATAAATAAATTCTGGGGTTTTTTGGGTCCCCCTTGTATAGTCCTCTGAAATACACATATATATAATCTTAATTAAAAGGCTCTGCAAGGTTTATGGTATAGCTTAAGTTTATGGCATCAACTTAAAGGCATAGGTTTAGGCATAAACTTAAAGGTAAGGGTATTTGCCTATTGTTAGACCCCCTTTCCTTCTTCATTCCATCACTGTATAGTAGGTTTCAGTAACATTAAGGTACAAAGAAACACCACCTTACGAATCTGTTGTGTTTCTTTTTTGCCAAAAAAAAAAAATATGGAATGTGTGTTCTGGCACACAGAAATGTATAATTGATTCAACACATAACTAACTAGGCAGGAGATGGGGAATGACGTTCTTTGTAGAAAAGAAACTAAATTTTAAAATATCAAAGACTATTTTTGTTTCAGATCATTGTTTTTTGCCTCTTCATGTATGCTAGCTCAACGCACCTTACTCCTGTAGCCTTCCAATTCCTCTTTATTTCCCTGTTTCTTGTATTGTGGACACTGCACAGTTGGCTTTGCTAAATCTACTGATTGTGTACATAGTTTCAGTTTTGATGGGCCCAGAAGGCCCGGGCAAAAGATGACATGTTTAAATGCACTCACAGGAATACCTAGCATCTAAACTCAGGATTCTGATGCAACGACACATGTGTACAGAAGCAACTTGATTTTAGCCCAACCTATATCCTCATGGAAGCAGTTTTCAGTTTCACTTTTTTGGTTCATGGGGACAGCATAGTTTACTGTGATGTCACATACACCTCATTTGTATATCATATTATTAGCAGAACTATGGAAGTGAATTTCTGATTAAAAAAAAAAGATACTTGAAAATCCTGACTGACATAAGAGTATTCTTCCAAACTTGTGAACCAAAGCATTTAGAACAAAGAGGTAAATCTTGTTAAGAAAAAAGTCAAAAATTTTTGGAAAAAGCAGTGCTGTACCTTTAAAACTTTCTGTAGGAAATATATGTATAAGAAGAGACAAGTGAAGAAACCTGACAATTTAAAAACAATTTCAGAAATATCAGTGTCTGTGTGATTGATCATGCCAAAACCCTAGGCAATCCCTAAGAGTGTATCCTGAAATTGAAGGTGACCTTTATTCTTGGGATAGTTTTTTTTTCCTTTTTAATCAAACTGAATTCATGTCCTCATTAATGTGCTGAATTCCTTAGATGTTTGGAAAGTGTCTATATTAGTCAGGGTTCTCCAGAGAAACAACCAGCACAGAATTACATATATACAAGATTTATTGTGGCAAATTGGGTTGTATGATTATGGAGGCTAAGAAGTCTCATAGTCTGCTTTCTGCAAGCGAGGAACTCAGGAAAGCTGATGATATAACTTAGCTTGAGTCAGAAGACCTGAGAACCAGGGAGTCAGTGATTTAAATCCTACTCCAGAGGTCTGAGATGAGTTGTCCCAACTCAAGCACACAAACAGGAAGCAAAAAAAGAGGGGTTGAATTCCTCCTTTTTCCTCCTCATGTCTTATGTAGGCCCTTGACAGATTGAATAGTGCTTACCCAAATTGGGGGAGACAGTCTACCGAGTCTACCAATGCTCATCTCGTCTGGAAGCACCCTCACAGACCCTCTCAGAAATAACATTTAATAACATTTAATCTGGGTACCTGTAGCCAGTCAAGTTTAACCATGGTTTAACTAAAATTAACCATCATAGCATCTCTGTTTAATTGCTTAGAGACTTATATTTTTTAAAAGTCTGATGTGATAATAGTCATATTTAGTTTGGGAAAGGAATGGTACTATAATTCTGATTTGTGAGAAATCCATGACAAAAAACAAGACGGAAGTCCACAGCATTGAGTCCTGACTGAGCACAGCTCTGTCCCATACTTTGTCTCAAGTGTGCTGTTCTGTCGTCATCTTTTGCTCCTCCCTATTTCTCACAATCTCTGCTCCATAATTGTTCTGCTTCCTTAAAAGTTATCTTCACCTCTCCAATTCTTATTTCTCATCTAGACAAATGTCTTTACCTCATAGCTGATCTACCCTATTTCCAATCTCTCTTCTGTAATCCAAGTCCATCATTCCACTAGCCAGTCTTCTCAAATGACACTTCCCTTAACATATTTTGAGAGATGCTTTTTCTGAAATAAGTATCTACTCATCTTATTTCATGATGCCTACATTGTCAGTAGAGTTGGCATGGTATTCAAGTGCCTTCATGATCTGTCCCCAGCCTACGTTACCAGCCTTTTCCTCTATTTCAAATTCAGTGTCAGAGATTGTAGATTCTCAGCCCTCAGACTAAAGGTAACATACAGATATATTTTCTTTTGGCTTGTATAATACGTTTTAAATTGTTTTTAATTAGTTGGATAAACATTTAAAATTAGGATGAACTTTTAAAATTAGCATGGAAATCGGGTTTCTGTCTTCACTTGAAAAATCAGAAGCCTTGAGTGCATGGCACCAATTGGCTGGGGCTCATAGCCTCTGCTTTTCTTGACTAGGCAAGCTTGTTCCAGTTCACTACAACCTCCTCATGTCTTTCAGGCACTGAAGCGGTCTCAGTTGCCAATTACCAGGTTTGCTTTGATATGTTTTGACATTCATTTGAACACTGAAATCATTTGAGTTTTGCAGCGATTTGATATACCATTTAGCTCGAATATATTCTGCTGCATTCTTGAACTTTGCTGTGTATTTATTGCCTTACTTCCATGGCTTTGCTGAGGCCAGGTTTATGTCTTAAGTTGTCACTATTGCAGTGGTAGCCAGCACAAACATACCAACAACACCCACACTCCCATAAAGCCCTTGGCTCCAGAAGCAGTAATTCTCTGCACACCTATGGGAATCCTTTATTCAGACTGCTTGCATCGTAACAGTTACCACACTTTATTGTAGTTGATTATTTATTTGTTTATTATTCTGTTACAGTTGCCTCAATTTTCTCTTGTTGCTCTTCCCTGCCCTGCCCAGACCCCCGCTCCTACAGTCAGTACCCACCCTGTTGCCCATGTCCATTGGTCATTTATACCTGTTCCTTGACTAGGCCTGACCCCTTCTTTCCCCCTTATTCCCCTCTGCCCTCCCCTCTGGTCACTGTCAGGCTGTTCCTTCTTTCCATGACTCTGGTTCTGTTTTGCTTGTTTGTTTGTTTTGTTCATTAGGTTCCTCTTATAGGTGAGATCAGGTGCTATTTGTCTTTCGCTACCTGGCTTATTTTACTTAGCATAATACTCTCCAGTTCCATCCCTGCTGTTGTGAAAGGTAGG